CTATGTATCGATGTGTCACAGCCGAGAGTACGGTAATGGCTGATTATCGCAAACTTACTCCTACAGGACCGAGAGTCCTTTCTCCAGAACAGCAGGCTGCCCTGGAAGCTGTGGACAAGCCTGGAAACCGAGGGAAAAGGGCTACAACAAAGAAGGAGACAACAGAGGAGGACAAGTCTAAGGCTTCTAAGTCAAATAAGCGAAAGTCTGATAAAGGAGATTCTTCCAAGCCCAAGAAGATTAAAAAGATGGCCAGAAGGTCCAAGAGTCCCACTCCTCCTAGCTCAGAAAATGACAAGGAAGATGAAGAAGAGGAAAGTCATCATGAATCACCGAGAGGTAATACTCCTCCCCGCTCCCCAACTCCAACTGAACCTATTCATGACAAAATTCCTACCCCACCTTCATCACCGAAACCGACAGTTCCAGTTTCTGTTCCACCTATTCCTCCACCTACCACATCACCAACTACAACTTCTTTTCCACCACCACCACCAGTTACTTCTATTCCTATTTCTACAACTCCCTTACCACCTTCGATAATTTCCCAATCTACCACCACTACTATTCCTGAATCGACAGTAGTTCAACGTATCTGATACGGGGGCCTACTGAAACAGTACCCTCCAGTTACTTCTACACCTCTCTCACCCTCACATTCAACCGACTCTGGTGCCACTCTCGGTGGTGCTAATGATGAGTATGACTCTACATACTTCAGTCCCTATCGGCTTCCTACTGATGAGGATGATGATGCTCATATCACCAGCCAACACTTGCAGCGCATTCATGAGAAGTTGGATAAGTTGCTTGAAGACAGCAAGTCCTATAGTGGTGTGGTGCTCAAAGCTTTTATGGACACTGCTCTAGAGCAATACACAGAGTCAATTGAAAAATCCACAAAATCCATTGATGCGTCTACCTCCTCTTGCAAAAAGGCCACCAGTGATGTTACTGACATTGTTCATACCACTCAGATTTTTCTTGAGTCGCTGAAAAGGCATGCCGACACAAATGCAGCCAAGGTTCAAGCCTCTGTGGATTCCTTTTCTAAGTCTCTTCAAGAAGAGCAAATCAAGTTTGAAGCTGTGCGTTCATCTATTCAAACCGAGAATTCATCCCTTATCAGCTCAGTGACTTCTCGCCTTGAATCTCTTCACGCTAATCTAGCAACAGAAAGTGCTCTGAAGGAAGAACTGGCCCGACAATCCTCCACTATTGAAGTACAGAAAGTGCAGCTAGCCCAAGCAGAAAAAGAGATTTCTTTGTTGAAGACCGAAAGGGCTGTATTCCGTAGCTGTGCAGGAGATGTGAAGGACATGTTGACCAATCTTCTTGGTGCTCATGATCCTATTCTTACTTTGACGATCAGAAATCATCTCACTACAAAACTTCTTCCTGCTCTTGCCATGTTGCACGAATTGAAAGGTGTTTCGGAGCCATTCACTTCTCCAAAACAAGGGGGAGAAGGTGTTCAACAGAAGGTGATTGTGAAAACAGAAACTACCCAACCGAAAGTCAAAGTCACAACAGAACTGAAGGATAATGTAGCTTCAGGTTCTGGTTCACAAGCTAAGCAAAAGAAGATCAATGATGACAGTAATAGTGATGTGGAAGAAACTATTGCTGAAGCTCTCAAGCGAAAGAAGAGAGATAAAGAGCTTGATGAGAATTTAAAGGTTGCGAAGGAAGCAGAGGATAGGCAAAGGAGAAACAAGGAAGAAGAAGAAGCCTTGAACTGCAAGAAGGCCTTGTTTCCCTTATGGACTAAAGAGGCACTTATCAATCAAGCTATAGAGTTTCCAAGTGTTTATTGGTTGGAACCTGTTGCTTCGTTTGACTGTGATAACTCTAAGGACTCGCAGTTCGACATGCCAATCACAAGAAAAGCATTCACGTTTCACTGCTTTGACTCGACTGCTGAGGTTCCTTTTCCTCATCCTAAGGTTGACCGAGAGCTTATTGATTTTTATCTGAAGTATGGACAACCTCAGTACTTGACATGGAGCGCACAGAAAATAATCACTGTCAGGGTACTCAAACCAACACCTGCTGGGAAGTTTGTGAATGTCAATTTCAAAATCACACGAGGATCTGCAAACTCGGTGTCGATTATCTCACTGGCAGACCTTCCAAATCTAAACCCTCATGATTGGATTTTGCTATTCAACATTCTGCTCACAAATCCGAGAGAATATGAGCCGATTTTGGAACACTTGAAGAGGATGTTGGCTTCTTACATCCATGAGGTTGCGGCTATGGATCAAGAGATAGCGAAAGTCATGAACAAGAAACCGACCATTAAGCCAACACCGAAACCAGGAGATGTAAACAAAATGAAGATGGGCCAAATAGATTCAACACATCTCACTGTGATGTTTACCAAAGGTGAAGCTCACAGATTTTTATTTGCTCTTGTGGATAAACACTTGTTTTCAACCGACTGCTTAGAGCACATCATCAACATTATTCATCGGTGCAAGCAGAACTCGGATGCTGATAAGAAGAACTTCACTGACATGCTTCGGTGGTACATAACGTTCCGTCATCATCTTTTGGCTATCATTCCGAAGATGTTCAAAACAGTAAAGAAGACTTCTGCAGCTCAACCGAAGTGAGCTTTTGGTTCCAATGACGCAAAGGGGGAGATTGTAGAGTTTAATTGTGTTGCGTCTTGGGCTTTATGTTTTGTATCCGGATTGGGCCTGTCCATCCGTGATTATCTTGTAGGGTTATACTATAAGTATGCATGCATGTATACATAATACGCTGTTGATTATTACGTTTATTGTTTTGTAACCCTAAACACCTCTACAATCGAAGTTCTTAATCGAGCTCTTCTGAGGTGTTGAAGCATTAATCATACGACATATTCAAAGCCATACTCGTGTTCTTATTTACGTTCATAATTGTTTGCTTGCATAGAATCTAACGATCCTAATAGAACTTTGTTCTAACAATGCCACTATGGGCCATTTTGCACCCTTTCATATGCACAAGGACTAGAATGAATTGTTTATCTATACATAGGGATAAAATTGAAATTACCTCAACATCGGGATGTTACACACATTCTTCTAGAAAAGCGCCCCAGACTTTTGGGTTTACTTCACAATTTATAGTTTTCAATATACTAAACAGATTAAAGCGAATGCAAAAATACATACCAGGAAATAGATGTTACAATTTGTCTTGCTTGCTGACCATTGCTTCACAAATACACCTTTCCTTCCTCTTCAAGATCACTCTCCAAGCGTCAAACACCAAGAAAACACACACACATAAGCACTCTAGGGTTAGGGTTTCACTTTCTGGAGGGTAGAGGCTCAAGATGGGAGAAACTCTAACCCTCATGTTCCTTCAATAGGGCTTAAGTCTACAAATATAGGGTTTTGAGCCTGCGCCGACATCTAAATGACGTGGCGCGCCGCGGTATGTCTTCACCACCACGCGACAGTCAGTCACAAATGACCAAACTTCAAACTTGAATAAATTAATTGCTATATATATGATACATGGAAACGGATGTTACAACCTCCCCCCCCCCCCCACACACACACACACATATATATTTATGCTCTAGTTTCGTTCCTGATTATAAGTTATAATTCTAAAAAAACAAAATTGATTTAGAGATTAGAAACACACCACTCGTTACACGAAAATAAAAACACACACTAGATGAGCCTCATACCCAATTTAAACACGAAAATGAAAACACTACCATCAAGAGTGCACTCACGCAAAGCAACACCTAACTTATGTCTATCCAGGAAAACTCACAGCAAACGCACACGTAGAAAGACACTACGAGAGGCACATCATCAAAAATACACCAATTTGACTGTTACCCTTGATTTGCTCCCTAACCTACGACTCCAAAGATTATAAACACCCGAAATAAAAGAGGGAACAATATCAAGGATTCCAATCAAACTTTTCGATACCCTATATTTAATCTAATTAAACAAATTTAACTAAATTTCATCCACTATTTTCATTAGATTTTTCCTCAGAAAAAAAAACAGAATTCCATGTCTTCCACCATAGAACTACTTGGAATAATGTTAAGAAGAATGGTTTTTGGAAATTTTTCTTAGATATGAAGTGATTTCTAAAAACTTTTGGTAATACAAATGATTTTTTCTAAATAAAAAAAGTTCTAACACTGGTTTCAGATAAATAAAAAATCAAAAATATAGTTATTTTAATAAGAAATTTCTATATAAAAAAATACAATTTCCTCAAAAATTAATTGTTTCTATTTGAGAGATTAATTGTTTTAACACAGGGATGTGGCGTCTGACCTCCCTCTACTGCTGACTTTTTCTCTCTTCTCTTGGTAAACAATCAACGAACAGAACCAGATCTACTCTACTGGTACAACGAACATGATGTTTCAAACGTTAGTGGCACATCGGAGAAGGAGAGATGGCGGTAGTGTTGTAACCCCTATATGTAGCTCATCCGATTTTGAAACCCTAAAATGAAGACATCTCTGTTTGTTTCTTCGTCTTCTGGTCTGTTTGGTGGCTAGAGAGATGGTCGATGGTGTTTCCGGTGAAAATGATATGGTGGCCGGCGGTGTTATCCGGCAAGAATGGCAGGTGGGCGGCAGTAATATTGGGGAAGAAGAAAACGAGAGAGAGAGATTTATTTTTATTTTTATTTTTATTTTTTTGTTTTTTTTTTTAATTTGAAAATCAGAAACAAATAATAAAAAAAAAAAAATCATATTAATAGGGGCAAATTCGTCATTATGAAAAAGTTCATAGCAAATTGGACTAAACTCGCAACAAAATGAAAAGTTTGGACCTCTGATGCTAGTCCAAATCTTTTTGGATAAAAGTGACAATTTTGAACAACCCACGTGGACCATTTATGCTTTTTGGACAAAATTCACAATTTTGAGTAAAAGATATACGGTTTGTGCAGTTTAGTCTCTTTTTTTTTTTTCTTTTTTTTATTTTATTATGAAATTTGTCTCTTCCTTCCCTGCCCAATTCTCAAACTGGGGTTTTTGAGCTCCACAAAAACCTCGAAGCAATTTTGGTCATTCGCCAAAAGGATTTGAAACCAGACTCTACCCGCCGATCACTCAATCTGGGACTCGGCCGTCGAAGTCACCGGAATGGGTTCATGCGTAAACACTTTCTCACTTCATTATCCTCCACGTCTTCTTCCAAATCCCCAATCTCAAACTCACCTTCAACAAAAATCATCGATACTACTTCAAAGTTCACTATATTTCAACTCCATGCTCAAAATTTCCCCCAAACCAACTTCCATAATCACTTATCTCAAGAAACCCATTTCATATTATCCCCTAATCACCTCTTCCTCTTCGCCTTATAAACAAATCACCAAGTTCGTGTCCGAAAGAATTGTAATTTTGCTTGTTGGGTCATTCATTTTCATAGGGTGTCTCAGTAAGGAGCCTGTATTAGCACAACCCGCACATGAAAGTACTCAAACTCAAAGCTCAGTGACCCAAGATAACGAAATCGACGATGAAGAGATGCTGTATATGAAATTATTAGAGGATAATCCAAAAAGTGTCGAGGCTTTGAAGTCGGTTTTCCATGCGAAGATGAAAAGAGGGAAAACGAAAGAGGCTATCAAGTATGTGGAGAGACTAATTTCTATTGAACCCAAGGAAGTTGAATGGAGGCTGTTGCAGGCTCTATGTCATGAAATGATTGGGGAATATAGCAAGGCTAAGAGTTATTTCAAGACTATCTTGAAGGAGAGACCCCTCTTGCTTAGAGCTTTGCATGTATACTTGTTTCTCCTTTCTCTATATTGTTTAAGAAGATTAATTGTTGATCTTGATTCTAATTCGATATCAATTTGATTACTGTTTCTATAGGGGCTTGCTATGGTTATGCACAAGAATCATGAAGGACCTGCTGTGTTTGAGATGCTAAATAAGGCTTTGGAAATTGCGCGTCAAAAGAAAAAAGTTTCAGAAGAAAGGAATATAAGAATATTAATTGGACAAATGCATGTTGTGAAGGTGATAAACTTTAAAATTACCAAAGTTCATTCTTTATATTTTTGTACTTTGATGACATATTTATAAATTCTTGTGTGGTATGCAGGGGGGATTTGATGAAGCCTTGAAACTATTCAAAGATCTTATAGATGAGAATCCCAGGGACTTTCGTCCTTATCTTTGTCAGGTGTTTTTTCATCACTTTCTCTATGAAGTCTCTATTAAGTCGTTCTTTCTGAATCAAATAAAAAAGAATCACCCATAGGTAGCTTATTGGATTAAGACTAACCTCATTAAGTTCATTAATTTAAAAAGTAACAACACCTAAATGTTACTCAAAGTTCATCTTATTACTTTTAATCTCATCATCTAACAATGAGATCAATAAAATTCTTATCTAATGGTTACATTTCTTGGTCAATTAGGTGGGAATTGGTGTATATATGGTCTTAGATTTTGTAAATGTGTGAAAGTTGCAGTTGTGATGATATATTTGATAGAAAAAGATAAGATCTCTAAAACATTTGTTGCATCTAGCATACAGAAATATATGAGTTCCTAACCATTGGAAATCGAAGGAATCTTTTAATAGTTTCTTGGTCTAAGTTGGATGGTTTCTTCTTCTACAAATTTTTAAAAATTTTAATGGATAAAATATATTTTACTCCATGATATAAAGGCAATCTTTATTAAAAGACAATCTTTGAAATAGAAAGATAATTTTTTACTTACATGCTGGACTCATTGCTTTGTTCTGTAAATTCAGAAATGTGAAGAATTTATTGGGAAGATTTTGCATTAATAGGATTAAATTTGTATTTTTGTTCAGGGAATCGTATACAGCCTTCTTGATAAAAAGGAGGAAGCTGAAGAACAATTTTTGACATACCAAAGCCTTCTACCTGATGAATTTCCTCAGAGAGGATTCTTGGATGATGTCGTATTGGCAGCAAAAAACGAAATTAGACAACAAGGAAAAAAAATGATGAAACCCGAGTTTTCATACAAGAAATAGACATTTATTTGTTCATGATGTGCTTCATCAGATTGTCCTGTTGTCAGTTATTTTCTTCTTTTTGGATTTAAATAGTTTTTTGATAGCAAATTTTGTGTTATGTAGTTTATAAGGTTTGTGGTTTTGGAAAAAAAGGGTGTTCATTTTGGTATATTTTCTTATATATCTCATGTTGTGCCAATTGTATAAGAACGTGTGTCGATACTAACCGGGTATTGAACTAAAAATTGGCACCGACATTGAAACCGATATAGTATAACCGATCCAGTTATCGGTTTTCATTATTAGCCTAAACCGGAGCCTGTTCCAAACCTGGTTCTATCCGGTTTGAACTAGTTGTTCATCCTAGTTCCAACTAAACACCATTGGCTTAGTCATCTTTTATCTGACCGACTACCTAATATCATGCAGACTCATCAAACAACGAGATTTCTCCTAAAAACATCAAACCATTTCTCTAGTGATATGAATAAACTATTATAGAAAAGGTTTATGACTTATAAGGGTAACATAGTCTAGGTTTTGTTCACATTTGGTTCCTTATATTTTTTTTGTCCATATATTACCATTAAACTTGTTTGGACTGTTCACATTGTATCCTTATGATCGGATAAAACCTACCCTAACTGCTCATAAAAATGTAATGTGAACAGTCCAAACAAATTTAATGATAATATGTGGACAAAAAATAACTTTAAAAACTAAACATGAATTACAACCTAAACTATGTTACCTTTCTAAATCATTATCCCTTTTGATTTTACCAATTTAAGGTAAAACATATAAATCAAGTGACACAAGTACGTCACTTTGGTTATTGGCTTTGCAAATTCCCATAAAAACTTGTCAATTTAATGGTTAAATGATTAGTATAAACAACAAATTGTATCATATGTGTTAATTTGTGTAACGAATTATTTCCCTTTTCAATTAGGTCACTGAACCAACACTTTTATGTTAAGTATGTCGGTATACTTACATTTATTCGATATTAGGTGTAAGACTCATGTATTACATGGGTTAATTAAAAAAAATAAATATAAATGTCTAAATATTTAAAACTTTGGATTTATAAGAAAAATAACGAATTATTAAAATTGATTTTTTTTTATCTTTTAAATTTAAATAATAAACAAAATAAACTAATGACCTTAATTGAGAATTTTGAAATAAGAAGGTAAGTTAATTAATGAAATTGATATTCATTTATTACTATATTTATTGTAATTATTACATAAAATATTATATGAAATTTATTAAAATAGAAAAACCATAAAATGACATGTGCAAAAGATATTAATTCAAAATAACTACAAAATGACATTTGGCAATTTGAATGAGAGTGTGACATGTGGCAAAAAAAACATTTATTTATTAGAGTAGATTTATGACACTTGGGGTTTTGGTCCACGTGTAAAAAAAATTATGTTAATTGTTAAATGTCATTAAATTAAATCTGAAAATTGTTATTAGGCTATTTGTTGTCGTTGCCCTTTCAATTGTATGTAAATGTCTTGTTTTTTTGACAACTCTACATCTTACTTGGCTATGTTTTTAATAAAATTTCCGGAAAAATTAAATTAAATTTTATGCCATGTAACATCCAAATTTCCAAACAAAATTTTTCATTTTAAAATTCATAAAAAAATATTGTTCACAAAAACCATCTCAAGAAAATCACAAATGTCTAATACAAGTCATCATCAAAATAACAGAGTGTCCCAAAATATCCAGAATCATAAACTGCAGGCGAATGTGTACAATCAAGTCTTCGCCTTCCCGCGATCCTCAAAAGTACCTGAAACACATTTAATCAACAACTGTAAGCACGAACCTTAGTGAGTTCTCCAGAATACCACATACAACACAAAATAAACAACTATGGATTATCAGCAACTCTGGAGATTACCCGAAGTCTCAGTGGGCAAACAGCACGTCCTGTGGGTTAACAGCAACCATAGAGACTACCCGAAGTCTCAGCACGCACAATAACACATATCACAGTTATAGCACATAGACCCAGTTGGTCATCACATATATAAATATATTCTACCACACAGGTAAGAATAGTGAGGAGACTTACCTCGCACAGATGACTAATAGAACTCACATCCGAACTGCCGGAACTAGACCCTACCTAATAATTACACCAATTAACCCTAATTAATATTTAAGGTAATTTTCCATACTCTACTAATCCCAAGCCAAGTCTAATCCATAATTAGGGCAAAAGACGATTTTTCCCTTCAAAAATCCCTTACAAATCCACTTCAGGCACAATAAGTCAAAAGTTAACGAATGTTAACCTACTACGGTTATACGCGCGGTGTACCTAGATCTACGTTGGGTGTAGAGCGCAAGGCAGGAAAGAAGTCAGGCTCGCAACTGGCTACGCTGGACGTAGCCAGACTTATGCATGGCGTACGCGTCGTAATCCCAAAACTCATCTTTTAACGTCTTAATCATTAAGATATTTACTCCAACCTCAGATCTGACCCTTAAAGAATGTCCTGATCTATAAAGTCTCTCAATTTATGCCTTTGGATGGCTAAAGAGAGATTAATCCCAAAACCCTAACATTTCACTTCATTAAAAACTCCATAACTCATGCATGGAAGAAAGTAAAGGACCAAGCTAACATTTTTATGACTCTAAGCACCCTAAGACGTCTGAAAGGACAACTTATATGCTCTGGAGTATTCCATACTCACAAATCCACTTAAGGCACAATTGGTCAAAAGTCAACCTGCGGACATACGCGCGGCATACCAAGATCTATACTGGGTGTAGAGTGCAAGATAGGGGAAGAAGTCGGGCTTGCAATTGGCTACGCTAGGCGTAGATAGAATTACGCATGGCGTATACGGCTTAATCCAAAGCTCAACTTTTAACATCTTAATCATTAAGACATGTACTCCAACCTCAGATCTGACCCTTATAGAACGTCCTAATCCATAAAGTCTCTGACTTTATGCCTTTGCATGGCTAAAGAGAGCTTAATCCCAAAACCCTAACATTTCACTTTACTAAAAACTCCATAACTCATGCATGGAAGAAATGAAAGGACCAAGCTAACATTTTTATGACTATAAGCACCCTATGACGTCTGAAAGGACAGCTCATATGCTCTGGAGTATTCCATACTCACAAAGATCAAGGTTTTGGGAAAAAAAAAAATAACATAAATCCAAGCCTAAACAAGATCTATCAAAACAAGCTCCAAGGTATGAACTTTATACCTTTAAAAGATGAACAAGGAGATGTAGATTCTCGATCCAAAGGCCTGACTACACCACCACTCCTTGGATGATCTTCCTTCACTACCAAGAACACTCAAAGATCACTCTCAAACTTCAGATCTCACTCACAAGGGCTAGGGTTTCGATTTTAGGGTTTAGAAGAAATGGAGGCTGGTCATGAGAAGGTCCAAGGGGATTAAGATGCTTAAATAGGGGACAAAACCCTAAACATTTAGGGTTTAAGGTATGCACGAGTACGCATGGATTACCCACATGTACGTCTAGCATACTCCTTCTTCGCCACGACTTTATAAGTTGACTTACGCCCAATGTACAAGCCTGGTACGCCCAACGTAATGGCCTTAATTGCAAAGATTTAAAATATAAAACATTGATATGAAAATACCTGACATCGGGTGTTAAAATTCTTCTCCACTAGAATCATATTTCGTCCTCGAAGTCAGCCTCTGCGAAGAGATCAGGATAATGCTCTTGCATCTCAGCCTCGAGTTCCCAAGTCCACTTAGAGCCTTTTCGATGTTGCCACTAAACTTTGACTAAGTTCACTACCTTGTTCCTCAAGGTCTTCACCTTCCTATCCAGAATCACCACTGACCTCTCGATGTAATTCAGGCGACCATCAACCTGAATGTCCTCTAAAGGGACGACAATTGTCTCATCGGCTACACACTTCCTCAACTGGGAAACATGGAAGGTGTCATGAATCTGACTCAACTCCTTAGACAGATCTAACTGGTATGCCACCTTGCCCACTCGGGCTATCACTCTGAAAGGACCAATAAACATGGGGCCCAACTTGCCCTGCTTCCTAAATCGGATAACACATTTCCAAGGCGATACTTTCAGAAGCATCAAATCTCCAACCTAAAACTCCAACTCAGAGCGTCGCCGATCCACGTAACTCTTCTAGCGGCTCTGGGCTGTCAACAATATATGTCTGAGCTGCTGAATAAGCTCTGTGTTTTTAGCACTATCTCAATGCTCCCCATGACCCTCTGTCCGACCTTGCCCCATCAAATATGAGTCCGACACTTCCTCCCATAAAGGAGCTCAAAGGGAGGCATGTCAATGTTGGAATGATGGTTGTTGTTATAAGAAAACTCAGCCAATGGAAGGTAAGAGTCCTGGTTCCCACCGAAATCAATGATGCAGGCCCGTAACATATCCTCAAGTGTCTGAATAGTCCGTTCACTCTGCCCGCCTGTCTGCGGATGATATGCGATACTAAAATGCAATCGGGTGCCCAACTCCTCATGAAAACTCTTCCAAAACCAGGAAGTAAAACGAACATCCCGGTCTGACACAATAGAAGTTGGCACCCCATGACGCGTCACTACCTCTCGGACATAAATCTCGGCCAACTTCTCAGCAGAAGAGCTTTCTCTTATGGCTAAGAAGTGAGCACTCTTCATCAAACGATCAACTATCACCCATATAACATCAAAACCCTTCGTAATCTTCGTCAATTTTGTAATAAAATCCATCGTGATCTGCTCCCACTTCCACAGTGGGACCTCCAAGGGTTGCAACTTTCTGTGAGGATGTTGATGTTCGGCCTTGACCTTCCGGTAGGTCAAGCACCGCTCCACGAACCATGCCACATCCCTCTTCATTCACGACCACCAATAACTATGTTTCAGGTTAAGATACATCTTTGTAGCCCCCGTATGAATGAAAAATCTCGACTTGTGGGCCTCATCCATCAAAACATGTCGAGCTCCACCAGTATATGGTACCCAAACCCGTCCATGAAGAGTCAATAACCCCCTGTTGTCGATTTCAAAGGCTGAAATCTGACCAATCACCCGCTCACTCTTCCGATTTTCCTCCTTGATGACCTCCTACTGCGCATCTCTGATCATCTCCAATACTGGAGTCATCACAATCATCCTCAAACACACA